ATGACTGGTGCCCCAAGGAGCGAAGAGCAACAGTACATATTTTAAATAACCCTTTTGCTGTTGAAAAAACTTGCCTGTAATGAAGTAAATGTACTTATCTCGATATGCTGCTAAGAAAGACATTAAACGGTACGCAAATGTGGCTTAAGCGTATTTATGAACATTATATCTCATATATATGCGATTTTATTTTAATAACATTTATCTCAATTTCTATTGCAAAGGTGATCTGATGTGTTTTGCTGTCTAAAGCATGCCGTAAATTTCATCAAATTTTCGTTTTGTAAAGATTCATGCTCGATATTGCACATTTCATGACATGATGTGTCTGCACAAAAGCGAACCTCTTATCGGGCGCGCAAATGAGGTTCGATTCTCAACGTAATGAGGAAGCAAATAGAAATGCCCATCATATTTTTCTCCCATAAGTGAGCCCTCGAAGGTGTTGGGGCTACGTAATCCATGTTGGTTGAAGTGAGCCTTTTAAAGAGAGGAGGTTAGAAGGTGCAACTCTTGTGATGGATGGGATTTAGTCGGATTCTAAATACTGAGACATTACGAGCACGTTCAAGCGTTCATTGAGCACGCCCTAGCCTAACTCATCTATTTATTTTAAGGACAGAAGTGGATGAACGTTGAATCATGTGCAAAGCGTGTATACACCCACGTGCGACCATGTCCACCCACTCATACATATTTGCATACACATATGAGGCTGTAGAACATATTTCTGCTTCGTATTGTTGAGTAATCACATTCCCGTATCAACACACTTATTTGTAACCTCAAACGCTGAACATAGTTTGATTTTGCACCTCCTGACTATTGACACGCATACGTGTCCTTTGAAACCCTCAAAAGAATACGCTTTTTACTAAATGCTGACATTTTTTTACTGGACACACTCGAAATCTCTGCGCACCCAACTCCATTCTAGCATTGAACTGTTGCTTGTGTTAATTCTACTTCTGAGGATGGAGCTAAAGATTTGGAGCAAACGCGTTATCGCCCAAAAATATGCAGTGAACTACCAAGCACATTCGCATTTACATTGTGTAGGCAATCTGGATGTCAAGGATGATGACGTGGTCCACGCAAATGCGCGCATCTCCGCCGATTCACCTCTGACCGTTGCTATCTCACAATCAGTTTTGCATAAGCATTCATTCTCATTATGGATGCAGGCGTTCACTAGCCTGGTCAAAGCTAGACAGTGACCAATAGCAGTCTGTGTCCATCTGGGGAGATGTTTGCACGTACAGACATCACTTACCTCATGGCCATGCAATTGTTGGTGGGTAGTCTTATCATAATACTGCTACGCAGTGGAGTAATCTGTGATGACCCACTTACCACCGGAATTGAACCATCATCAACTCCGTTTTCAGTCACAAATGCCTTCTCTCAGTTTGAGACACCAGTTACTTCATACGTCACTTTAACTACAGAAGAGGCAACATCAACCACTCCAGAAGTTGTAAACAATGCCCTTTCAGCATCAACCGACCTTGATGAGACAGTGTCGTCCTCCAAACAGCATCCCTTTGAAAACGAGCATGGGACGCAAAGCTCAATGGCATCGGACGGTTCTGGTACATTCATAACCCTACAAACCACTCCTCTGTTGACGTTAAATGGTAGAGATTTTTACATGAAAGTTGTACCTCTCACAGAAGATCATCCTTATCTAACTGAAAGTCCACCAACTACTCAGTCACCGGAATTGAATGTCGTGGTATCTGAGGCAACGGGACAATCCGCTATCAGTGACACAACACCTTTCATTACCATAACAGACGACAAGTCTTTTGCCGGTCAAATAGCCAAGAAGGCCGCCGTTTCATCGAATGCAACTGTTAGACTAAATGATTCAAAGAACGACACCTTTTTTACAACCATTTCATCTCAGGACTCAACTACTTTATCGGACAGCCTCGATACTTCACCTACAAAATCGCTTGAAGCACTTGTATCAGTGGAACCAAGAAGCACAAGTACTTTAGGTGAGCAGGAAAAGTCAACAGCTTATCCCAGATATACAAGCAACAAAGATCGATCCACCAATTCACCGAGTTCTTCAGGTTGGAACCTATACTTGTCTTCACTTGCATCCGGGATTAATGGTTTTGAAGAGATAACAACAAAAGCGGAAGGCATGAAACAGGACGCCTCAACCTCATATTCTGAGGCAGCACTAGGACAATCCCAAACAGAATCATCCAATCAAAAAACGGTTACCACTCATTCAACAAGCCCTGAGTTAGATAAAACTACTTCCACACCCCAAATAGACACGTTGAAAGTCAAAAGCTCTATTGCCGTTGCGTCAACAGATATGTTTTCTAAAGGATACGATCGGGTAACATTGTTCGGCTCTAGCACAATAAGCATGACATTCAAAGAAGACACTAAGCCAAGCCAGACTGTTGAAGTGTTGCCAAAAGACGCGAACATTCAATCCACGACCACAAAGAATATATATGGTCCATCAAGAGTAACTTATGCCTCAGGTCACACTACTGAGTCCGTAAATTTGGATTTATCTAAAGCCACTAACTCCACAGGAGATTCCATGAAGAGCACGGTAACTGGAGTGGATGATCAAGAATTGGTGAGATACACAACTTTAAGTGCGGAGACGGGCATTTTTAACGTCGGTAGACTTAGCTCTACTCAAAATTCAACAACTCTTCGGTCAATCTCAAGCATTACCAATGGTGGTCAAGACAGCAGTGAAATAGAAGCTGTACGCGAACTAACAACACCCAGTCATGAGATTGAACACACAACTGAAATAATGACTGCTTCCCCTATGAAAGATACCTCTTCTGATTCAACTCGAGTTACCCACATTTCACTTACAAGTCATGAATCATTAGCACCCGGGGGTGCTACAAGAGATTCAACAAAATCAAAATATGAATTTGATGACGACAAATCACACTTTACTAGAACGTTCCCCCCTGCATTCTCTACAGCACCGGCTACTTTGCCTCGCCTTGGTGAATCAACCAAGATCGTTTCCGCAACCACAGATGAACTGGGGTCAAATCCTGCAGGTACAGAACAGCATTTGAACCTGAAAAGGCCGCATTTAACATCTTTAGTAGCAGAAAGAGCACCAGAGGTTCCCCTATCAATCTCTAGTTCCTACGCTACGCAACAAAGTGAACATGAATCTACTTCCCATTTGTTACCAACTCCACCATCCGAACACGTAAGCAGGTCTGAAGATGGTACCGATCCCTTCCCCTATCCTTCAAACGATAATGATTTGGAAAAGAAGGATAAATCTCTGCTATTACATAACTCTACCCCTTCAGACACAACACAGGTCGAAGAGGTCATTACAATACAAAGTGTCTCTTCAATATCCCCATCACAATCGATTGAGGATGAAACAAACAGAAGCACTAGTCCCTCACCTCAAAGTCTCCCAGTCACGGAAGTTCCAGGAAATTTTATTGAAGATTTTTCAAAAATGACAGAATCTTCTACGATCATATTAACTACCTTTAATTCTAGGGGAACGATGGAAATAGGAGGAGTAGGAAAAGATAAAACAATAGCATTAGAAGGAGCAGACATTTCGGTGCCAACTGATTTAACACAAGAGTCGATAACATCACAAAAAGTCCCTTCCACAGTTTACACAGCATCCGTGCAGCCAGCAGCTCCAGAACGTCCAAAGACTAAAAGGTTCACAGTTCAGCCTCAACCACAACCCGGAGGCACTGATCCGGAGGGAATGACTGTGACAACTGCCATTTCCATGGGTTTAATTTTCATATTTCTCCTGATATTATTTTGTATCCTTGCAATATCTTTAATCGCCGGATGGGTACATTGCCGCGGACGGGAAGGTGGACGGCCAAAAGTTAGTCTAATTCGTGTGGAGCGAGGCTTAACGACTGAGCTTGCAAATGGTTGGAACAAAGGAAGCCCGGTTCACGCCTGGATGAATTCACAGTCGGGAACCGCAACGACTCCGCATGCTTCAGATGCACAGTTGTCTCGGTCGATCCCATATTCTCCATCATCTCCGCCTCCGCCACCGAGTTTCCAGTGTGGCTGCAAAAGAAGAAGCATATTCGGAAGTGCAAACCGCCTATGTATGATTCATGGCGACCCCTCGGCGAGGCGCAACACAAGTGCAGTACGCGCTGTTAAGATAATTTCTCTAACTGATGACTCCGATGGCGAAGAAGTAGGCACCGTGCTCCTGAAGGATCTCGGTCGATGTCGCGCTAGTGGGACTTCCAACGCTGCAAATGAGGGTACCCTAGACCATGAATGCAGATCGGGAGGTAGACGCCTCAGTGAATGGCTTTACATCGACGAGGCCTAAACACTGGATGCCTTTTCGCCACAATGACTGACACCAGACATGTAATTGCCCACTGTCGCACCTACACATGTTCAAACGCTTGCAATTTGCAACGCAGTTTCTACCCACTCATTCATAAAGCTCCCCATCCTCAGCACTTGCCCACCATTTTAGAAGACTCGAAGCCAGGAATCTGCACATGGCTATTCAAAAATTATATTGCCACTAAGCACTTACTTTACATACATGGTATGCATGCAGGTGACCGCAGAAGCGCATGAGACGCCACTTATGTTCACCTGCTCCAACACCCACTATAACATCAATTTGGGAAACCACAAATTATATGAATTTTTAGAATAGTTTCATACAGTTTCACCACTGTTGTAACGACTCCAAGAAAAATTAATCTAGTAAACGATGTAACCGCAGCGCATTTTCACTTGCCATTGGTGCTTTAAGGAATGAAAAATGTTTCTTCCGGAAATCGAAACCTCACGTCTTTACCTTCATGAGGGCTAGGAAATTATTCAACATCTCTTCAGGCTATTTTACAAATTAAAGCCAGTTTACTAAAGAGTGGAATAGTAAACCAGCATAACAGCATGCTCTCCTCAGAAGTACGGTTAATACTTTGTTATCAATATTACTTTGGAATCCATTTGTTTTGGAAAAACACCTTCAGATTCTCCTAACATCCATAAGAATAAATGTGATGTCACAACAACGAAGCTCTTAGCAATAACATCCTCAACCTACTTAACTTAGCATTCATCTAATTCGTCATTGAGAACTGGTGTTGATCGGA